CCACCATTATAAAACAGTGTCTCTCCCTTTGGTGAAGCCACCTTACAACCTATCAGCACTGACAATCCACTTACTGCAGCTCTGTGTCTGGCAGCAGTGCTTGAACTACTCCAAAGTCAGTCCAAGAGTTTTCTACAGTTTAAGCAACAGTCACTATGACAGACGGGTTTTACTTCATACCTTGTGTGGTTATCTTAAGGTAGGCATGAAACAAGTCTCTAGAAAAGCACTTTAGTAAGTACCTTTGGGCCCATAAATTTTATGGCCACTGATGCTCATCAGATCAATTTTCATGCTGTTGACATCCATAGGAATTTTACCAATTGCTTGTGCAGCATCCGTGTGGAAGAACACCTTACGCTCGCGGCAGATCTCACCTGTAACACAGACACAAGAGCAAAACCACCCACATTATCTCATCTAATTGTGCTGATTCCAATGATTCCAAAATGAATCAGTTTACAGCAGGGACCAGTTCTGAGGTGACAAGGGAAGAAACGGGTGCTGCTGTGTTTCTTTTACAGAGAAGCATCTAAAGCTGTGTTGGAGCTACTCTAGCTGATGCCCAGCTGGTTTAAGCAGGTCAGCAGGTAAGAGGCCCCAGTCTTGGCCTATGAGGCCTGTGATCAAAGTGTTGTGGTCACTGTGGGAACCAGACCTTGGCACCAAGTATCTCTGGCATTGAAGAGCGGGACAACACTAATGGCCGTAACAATGTAAGTGCAAGAGGAAAATCAGCTGCACAACGGGATCAGATGCCGGCCACAGGCTGGAAAAGCAGCACCCTCCAGGATGATGCTGTATAAGTGCCAGGGCAGAAACAATGCCTGAAAATGCCCTAAAAACCCAAACATCTTACAAAAGGACATATTGAATACAAAGGGGCAGGAGGGGGTATGTTTTGTCACTGTCATGGTGTTATCAATGCTGTGACCTGCTTTGCCAGACTGCTCTGAGGTCCCATCTCTCCACGTGCCCGCTCAGAGCCTGGCTCACCCTCTCCTTGTTCCAAAAACCTGGCTCTTCAGCAGCTTTTTAGCCTCCAAACCAATTGTTCATGACTGTGTATAGCAATACTGGGGGGTGAAAGGGTGGCACCATCCCTTCCCACCCCAAATACTGCACGTTTCTCCTCTTAAACTCTACAAGTGTTCAATAACTTGTACGTCAACTCCATCTGGCCATTTATCCTGGGTAGTACTTTCATCCACCATACAATTAACAATGAAACACAAAATACTGCAGCTGATCTGTGCTACAAAGCTGCAATTGCTGCAATGCTCCCTGTAAAAGTACCAAGTTTTAATCTTCATTTCCCTTTTAAAGTAAGTTTTTCTTTGGGACAGTATTATTATTTACTTCTTACCTATACTACATCTTTTGTATTAGCAGCACTTGGCTATGAAAATATTAAGTAAAATGAAGCAGAAGTGACATTCCTTGCCCTCTGGAAGCCACAGTGTACTTACCAATGTCCTGAACTGGCTGCTTTACTCCTATTTCATTATTCACAGTCATTACAGAAACCAAACCTGTATCTGGCTGGAATGCAGCCTCCAAATCCTGGGGAAATATTCAAACAGAAGCTGTGACTAAGAGCAAAGCAAGATTCCTGTGCACACCTTCAACTTGTCAGCAAAGCCTACCCACCAGCCCCCTACCAACCCCCTGGGCTCTGACAAACAGTCCTGGCAAGAGCACTTATCCATGTGAATGTCATTCCTGTAGGAAGAGGAGTGTGATCAACTGCATATCCTAACCCTGGTATGCACCACACCACTGGACTCGATTAAATCAAGTCAGAACAGGCTTCTGCTGTGTCTCATACATTCCTCTGAACTTCTTTAATGAATTAACCACCCAGAAAACAGCTTAAGCCACACATAAACAAAGTGAGGTTGGCTATAAGGGAACTGCACTATATACAAGAAAAAAGCATCACGCAAAGAAAGAGTCCACCAAAGTTCACAGCGAACACGACTATCACTTGTACACCTGCAGGCCTGTCCCCTCTGCCCACCACATACACACACCATCTCTCCAAGCCAGATGACAAGGCCAGAAATAAAACTGATGCTGTCTTGTACTGTAAGACACAAATGACAAAATAAGCAGATACAACTTCTAAATCCCAGGGCTGAGGCATGTACACCCTGAAGGGTCAATGCAGAGACTGCAATCTGAAGGGAGTATTGTAATTGCTGTCTCTACTGCCTTGAGTAGCTCAGGTCACAAAATTTCACCATGAAACCCCCATACCAAAGCTAGCTCTATCCTAGTCATGTACTGGGCTCTCCACAGGGTATGCAGCAGCTCCACCTGCATGGGTATGAATGACAGCAGGTGAACGGTGGGATGAGAGATGGATGCTTTTAGCTGAGGAAAAGTCTAGAGCATAAGACAGAACAGAAGATCCTTCTCCAGCTGTGATCATTTGACTGTGACTCTCATTCTACCTGGTGATATTTATCATCCTATCCTCTTGAACATTAAGAGGATACAAGGTCCTCTTGAGCATCAATACGAAGCAAACCCTCCACTATTTCTGTCACTAAACAACTCACCTTCAAGTCTACGAGCCCATTTTTTTTAACAGGCAGATAGGTGACCCGAAAACCTTCTGTCTCCAGGGAGCGGCAGGAATCCAGCACACACTTGTGCTCTGTTTGAGTAGTGATGATGTGCTTTTTTCTGGATTTATAGAACCTTGCAACACCCTGTTCAGGTACAACCCACAAACAAGAGATTTGTCATTCGTCACTGAAGAAACAAGGTTTATTCACCAGGATCAGAAACAAGACATTACTATTCAGACACAATTAATTTGGATCTTCCCTCTTGGCCCTGAAGTCACGAATCTAAAAGGTACTGATGTGTAATTCGCACTATATTTCCATCAGCACTTGTTTTCCAAAGCATCTCTTTTCAACCAGCTTGTGAAAGTGTTCACTGAGAGAAGACACTATTAACAGTAAGTAATACTTTATAAAAACACCTGCAACAGAGTCACATGCAACGGTGCACATGCCAACAGATAAAACACTGCCCAGTCTTAGTCAGAAACAAGTTTGTAATCAGCACTCCACTGTATTTCATGATAAAGATTCTAACTGCTTAAGCAGAAGGGTTACATTTGGTACATGCAAGATAAACATTATTACACTTTGTACTCAAAACCACCTCCTAGGAACCAAAATATCCCATTATTCCCTCCACGCATGCAGCAGGATAACACAAGCAGCAAATATTTGCATTCCTGGGCTTACTAACCCAAGATATTAACATTTCAGCTGCTGAAAGCTGTGTACAGTTCTTAAGAGCATGATTTTAACACAATGAATAACTAACAGTGTAAACCTTTTACCTTAATTGCCATGTTATTTGCTTCTGTTGCACCACTGGTAAATATAATTTCCCTTGAATCAGCTCCTATTAAATCCGCAATTTGCTGTTTGAAAGACAAATTTGATTTGTTAAGACAAAACACATTGAATTCACTGTAGCAAAACACATGCAAAATGTTCTCAAGAATACCCCCTTAAGCCCCCAAAGGATCACAGCTGTATCTAGTGAAGTTGTGCTACGGGTACAGTGGTCTAAATAGCTGCATTAATATAAAATACATAAGGGGTGGTATACACAGCAGTACAGCAATAGTGGTGTTAAGCTTAGGCTGCCATAAAAGAACATAAAAGTAGGCAAAACACCAGGATGTGTTACTTTCAAAACAATGTACAAAATCCCGTATCTAAGATTAGGAGAATGATAAGAAATTGAGTTATCCCAATGGCTGCAGCACTCTGTGACCTCAGGGAGCCAAAAATCCTGCAGCACCTTTGCCTGAAGTATTTTTTCTGCCATTTCAGTCCCTCTAATCTATTTTTTCTTGCAAGAAATCTGCTACCGCAGAGCTATGAGAGCAGGAGGCTGCTAAACCAGCCCACAGAGAGCTACCTGGAGCAGTTCATCATTGCTCTTGGTTTTCCTTCAACACTGAACTTCCTCACCAGCAGGAAAACCACTGCAGAGAGCCAGACTCACCTTCCTCGCCTTCTCCATGGCAGCCTCACTCTCCCAGCCATAGGCATGTGTCCTGGAGTGCGGGTTGCCGTAGTACGCTGTCAGGTACGGGAGCATCCTGTCCAGGACCCTGGGATCCTGCGGGACACACACCACCCAGCCTTGAACACAGGGAAGGGAAAGCATCTCTGTCCCCTCCGCACACCCTGCCCCAGGACTAGCACTGATGCTCCTGCAGTGTCTGGGTGTAGCTCCAGCCAAATCTTGAACACATGAGATTATTACATGCTATATGCAACACAGCCTCCAGCAAAGCCAAGTGTCTGGCAATTATGTTCTGTGCCCTCTATTTGCATCAAGACAATCACAGAAGAACGGGGTTTTCTGAGCATATGGAATCATGGACTGGTTTCTGTTGGAAGAGACCTTAAAGCTTATCCAGTTCCAACCCCTGCCACGGGCAGGGACACCTTCCAGTACAGCAGGTTGCTCCAAGCCCCATCCAACCCGGCCTTTCCTCTGCGCAGGAGAAATACAAGGTATTTCTTACCTATACTACATACATACAATACAAGGTTACTCAGGTATTTTGGTTACGTTCAGTTCTCGCTGCCCCTCAAAGCAATGCCCATCCCCGCGGGTATCAATTGCGGCTCCCGCAGAGCAAGAGCGGAGGTGCGGGACACCGGCCAAGGTAAAAGCCCTTCTGGGGTGGGGAGGAGACGGTGGCATCCCGAGACCCGGCCCTTACCAGCGGGGTGGTGGCCTGAACGTCCATGTAGAGCGGCCGCAGGGCACTGCCTCCATCGCCGCTTCGCCCTGAGGGAAAGAAGGGAAGGAGCCGTCAGGTACCCCCGGCACCGGCCGCACGGAGCTCTGCCGGCCAGGCCCGCCCGCCCCCCGGCCCCGCCGCTGTCGCCCCCTCCCCGGCCTTACCCGGTGCCGGCTCCGCCACGGCCGCCGAGAGGCGCCGGACGCCGAGAGCCGCCCGCGGGGCAGCCCGAAGCCGCCATAGCATCATGGCGGCGTCACCGAGCTGAGCCGCTGCCCGCCCCTTCCGGAAGCGTCACGGTGCGCGCCGGAAGCGGAGGCCGGAGCGGGCAGAGGCGGAGGGCGCGGGGCGAGCGAGGTGCGGGGGGGCCTGGGCGGGTGCGGAACTCCCGGGGGGCGCGGCCGAAGCCCCGTGAGGTGAAGCGGGCGCCGAGGGTAAAGGCCTCGGGGCCGGGCGGAGGCCGCCGCTGCCCAGGGAGCCGCTGGGGCGGTCCGGGGTGTGAGCCCCGCCTTGTGCCGGGGCTCCGGAGCGGCAGGTCCGCTGTCCCCGGGCGGGAGCAGAGCTTCTAAGAGCCGACAACGCTTTCGGCACCGCAGTCACCGGGCCCCTCCAGGCCGGGTTGGTTGTAGGAGTGTTTTAGACCGAGCAGTAAATCCATGGTTTGTGCTTGTGTTTCCAGATGCCGGTAACCGTGGGCCCGTACGGGCAATCGCAGCCCAGCTGCTTCGACAGAGTAAAGATGGGTTTCATGATGGGCTTTGCAGTGGGCATGGCAGCGGGAGCGCTGTTCGGAACGTTTTCCTGCCTCAGGTATGCCAAGGGAACGGTGCCCGTGGGCAGGCTGTGGCAGGGCGATAGCCAGGGAGAAACTCCTGGCTTGGAAGGGGAGGCCCGGGTCTGCCCCTGCCATCGCAGAGGTGAAGCTTTGCCAGGGCTCTGCCTTGAGAGCCCGGTGCCAGCCCCGGCCCCAGCTGGGCCCCTCTGGACATGGGGCGGGGGGGTCCCAGTTTTGCCTGTGCTCATACCGAGGTTGTGCTGGGGGCTGAGGCTGCGGGAGGGGGCTCCAGCGGGAGCTCTGTGCAGGCACACGCGGCCCTCTCCTTCCTCAGAAGCTCCCTGAGGCTCTCGGAGAGCTGGGTGCCCTGTGCCCTGCGTGCAGGCAATTCCCATACTGACCCCGAGGGGTAATGGCAAGAGAGGAGGCAGAGCCGTGGCCGGCGCAATCCCATCGTGAATCAGAGGCAATCTCACACCTTCCCGATGCGCCAGCACAGGGGTAACCAACTCTCAGTGCTCCAGGCCGGCTCCTCGCTGCCTGCTGCTGGCACACACCAGCCATGGACAGGAATTACTCCTTCTTATGGGGCAGAACTAATGCTTTTTTAATGCGTGATTAAACACGGAGGTGGCCCGACCCAAACCCATTCAATGATGCTATGGTTCAGATGAGAGCCTGAGAGGAGGCAAAGGCACAAAGTCTTATCTGACAGTGTTTAACGTTTATGGCTCCCTCACTGATCCTGGAGTGTCTGTAGGTGGTTCAGTGCCAGCAGAAAAAGCTCATGGGTATTTAGAGGAAGCAGTGGCAGTCGGTCTGCCCTTTTTGAATGACACAGCTGTGCAAAGAGAACAGCTCCTTGCTTTTGTAGCTCAAGCACGGGGCACCACAGCATCGCCCTGCACAAGCAGATGTCACTTAGACTGAGGAGGAGGTGTTTGATTTGGGTGCTCAAGCACCTAGTTTCTGGTTGTACCGGATGTTTGCTGCTGCGGGTCTGTTACAGGCTTCAGCTTCTGTGTAATTCCTGCGGTTTTCTTCATCTCAGGATCGGCATGAGAGGACGAGAGCTGGTGGGAGGAGTCGGCAAAACGATGATGCAGAGTGGTGGGACGTTTGGGACATTCATGGCTATCGGCATGGGAATCCGCTGCTAACCTGGAGCGAGGGTCCCAGCCCGGAGTGCCCCTGCCCAGCATTCCTCCTCTGTACCATAATAAAGTGTTTGGATACCCGGAAGCAAGAGCTCTTCGTGACGTGGTGAATGAAGCACCGTCTCCTTGCTCTGCTGCTTGTAAACCTGCTTTTTACCAAGTTTCTACTTACCTCCCATCTTCTCCCATGAGGATGAGAATGAATGATCCTTTGTACTACATTAAAGTTCCTGGTTCACAGGCGTAAGCTCGGCCCTCCCGTTTCTCCCTTTGGTACTTGGGCAGCTCTCAGGCCCCATATGATGTGGAGCTGCTCAGGTGCACTCGTATTCCTGAGTCTAGGGGAGTTACCTGTGGCTACTTCAACTGTCAGCTTTCTCCCTTGCACATGTGGGTGGGTTGAAGTCACCCCCATTTCCAAGTAATACAGGGCAAAAGCGAGGGAGCCCAGAAGGAATTGGGCAAGTCCTTAAAACCAAGAGCAAACTGCAGCAGCTGAAGGCTCCAACAGCCCGGCAGTGTGTGGGGCAGGCAGCAGTCAGGGACAGCACAGTTACAGGTACAGCCGTGGTGCAGGAGCTGGAAATCCTTAAACTGCTGGGAAATAGAAAACCCCTCTCCTGCCATGAGCACTCATCCTTGCGATGAGTCCCGAGGGTGACCTGGACAGCAGATGTGGGTGATGTAACCTCCTCAGGCCTTGAGCAATGCCCTTCCTGCAGCTCTGCCCTCAGGACAGATAACCTGTGTCAGGGCACCCACTTACAGGGCACTCTGCTGAGGGGAAGACAGAAGCTGTGGTTGTGACCACTTCCATTCAGCCCCAGGTACTGGCAGTGGCTCTATGCTCCCTGGGCATAGGAAGGGGTCACCCATAGGAGCTGTGCTGCCAGGACACCGTCCTTTCCCCCTCAGCAGGTCTGCAAGGTGCCAGGGAGAGGGGTCACTCCATGCGGCCCTCCCTATGGGTGAACTAGCACATGGTTAGTTCAGTGTTGCAATCTCCTGGTATCTGCCTGTTGAAACCAGGCTTATCTTTGCTGCTCCTCCGTTTCCATTTAGGACAGGGTAGCAGCAGCAGAACCTGAGCCAGCAGCCACAGAACTTGCACCTAGTACAAGTGCCACCTCCCCGGTTTTTAGGGGAGAAAACACCAATCTGCTACTAAAAGCCTGCTCTGCTGCCATGTGGCTCAGTAACCTGAGTGGAACAGTGCCACCAACCAAGTTGGGCAGCACGGCTTCTCTGAAAAGCTCCAGTTTTACTCTGAACTGGCAACTAAAACCCCTCCAGTCAAACAAAGCTACAAAGCAGCTTTGTGTGGCATTCCTGAGCTGGGTCACACACTGCCAAACCCCTCTGGGGCTGCTCCCCAAGACCATTCTGCAGCTCAGCCACAGCAACCTGCACCTGGAGTGGCTGCACTGATGGAGCCCAGGTCACCACCACCTCCTGCCCTGAGCACCGGCAGCATCTCTGCCACCCATGGGACTCCACACCACTGTCAACCACCCCTTGCACTAGGCACAGTTAGAAGTGACAGGAGGGAGGAAAGGAGCAGTGAGAGGACAACCAACATAAATGACTGCTCCATCCTCACACTCCATGACCATGTGTGAAAGATGGGACAGAGGAGAGCAAAAGGACCTCCAGCAGGCCTGAGCTTGAGAAAGGGCACAAGAGGCTCCTGAACAGCCAAGGCTGCAGCACCCAGTGTGTGTGGGGTCACACCAGGAAAGGTGACATTCCACCCACCTCCATTTCATAGCCCCCATCAAACACTTCCAGTCCAGTGGAGAAATAAAGCTTCGTGAAGGCCTTTTTAAGAGAATTTTATTTGAGTGGTTCTTACAAAGATTGTTGCAATATGAAAGTCTTTGTTTGATAGAAATATCGAGCTGTCTTGTCAAACACACTGAAGTAACCCAAAAATATATTTCAGAGCTCACAGAGCTTAAAAAGAGCAAAGATTATATGCAACCAGAACAAAACACGTTTCTGTATTTCCTACCCATTTTCAAACCCGGCTGAAATCCTTCAAGCTGTGCCCCACGGCAGACATAGAGACTGATCTGGAAATGCAGAGATCGTTTTGTTTGGAAACTTAGACACACCTCACACAGTATTTACAAAGAAACTTTTACAGATACATTAATCAAAAGTTACCATCAAGAAATAAACCCCTTCAATCCTTCTATTCTTACCAATTATTCAGCACAAAGCAAGCTGCGTGGCTGCCTAGAGTCAGCTTTCAGTAGCCTGTTGAACCTTCCATTTATACAAAACACTAAATATGTCCCTTCAGAACATCTACCTCTGATATTAACCCTTAGCAGATCACCTACATTTAGTGAAGTGTAAATGCTGCATTAAAAGAAAGGCTTTGTGAAACATTAAAAATGTCATTATGTCCCATCTGCCTTTTACAGAGAACTTGTTTTCTATGAGCTACTTCTCAGTTCCTACAGATCACCTTAGTCAATGTACAAGAATTACAAGGCAGAACAAGAAGTCAACAGCTTTGTATACAGTGGAAATGCTAGTTAGGGAGAATGAACACACTGCATTTCTGCTTACTTCATTTTATTTTTAAAGGTAGCAGGAAGTGTACACAAAATGACATTAAATCCTTTCCTTTAGTTTTATCTAAATAAAAGATAACTCAATCTTCCTCCAAAAAATAACTATGTACAAAACTGACTAAATCCATCTTCATCGTCGAACAGGAACCAGTAGTTGGGTTGCAGTCATAGAGTCTGGGAAAAGGCTATGGTACGTTGGAAGAGGTACATACGCCGCTGTGATCATTTTACCTGTCAGAAGATGGAACAACAGGCATCAGTATCTGGTCATTTCCATAATTAATTACATTAACTGAAGGTTTCTGTGGGGAAGCCACTCACCTGCAAACCACCTCCCGTGCAACGCATTGACAGCTGCAATGGCAGCAGCGATGGAAGGACATTTGACATACACATTGCCCTGCAATACAGAAGGGTCAGAGCTGTGAGAAGCCTGAGGAGGGTCCAGCACTGCCTGTGCTGAAGAGGCTGTGGCAGAGGCAAAACTGTTGCTCTACTCCTATGGTGACCACCCCGTGACTCAGACATGAGAAAACAGCTTTTTACTGGTATGTGCTACCACACTGCCACCTCGGCATCAACTTCTCTGAGCAGCAGTTTGCAAAGCAGAACAAACGCATGCCTGACCCACACTGATTGCTCACTTGCTCAGATAACCCTCCACAGAGAGCAGCTAATGGCTGGTGCAAAACAAAAGCAGGAGGAGTTTGGCTACCTGTGCTGCAGGCCAGGCCTTCAGCTGGGCAGGTCACCAGCCTGAACCACACCTAACCGGATAGGCAAGTTCACAGCCTGGTTTTTAAAGGGCTTAAGCACTCCCCGGGCTGGAAGGATGTCTGCTGCTTCAAGGAAGACTGGTACTGTACTACTGCTACGTGAACTTCACCTGAACAAGGACTGGGACAAAGGGGGATCTCCCCTTGCAGCAGGGCCAGAGCAGCCTAGGACAGTAACATGAGTGACAGAGGTTTTCCATCTGTGCCTAAGGCACCAAACCAGCCTAATCCAGTGCACTGCAACACTCCCATTCAACACCTTCAAGACACAGCCACCCACAGCAATGTGTATGCATTATTCTGGCTGCCTGCTTAAAGAGAGACTACTACCAGTAATTCTTGAACAGATCAGATTCTAACTGAAACAGATTTTACAGGAAAAGAATGTATTATAGAATCACAGAATAGTTCAGGTTGGAAAGGACCTTACCATCATCCAGTTCCAACCCCCCCACCATGGGCAGGGACACCTCACACTAAACCCTGCCACCCAAGGCCCTGTCCAACCTGGCCTTGAATACCACCAGGGATGGAGCATTCACAACCTCCCTGGGCAACCCATTCCAGTGCCTCAGCACCCTGACAGCACTGAGAAACAGAATCCAGCTTTTCCTCTAGCAGCCTCTGCAGCCAGGACTAACTCTTCCCACTGTGATCTAACTCATTCTTTCTCAGGGGGATCTTTCTCACGAGATCAGGGGCTGATGGTTGAGGCATTAAGTAATTAACACAGTTGTTTTCTCTCCAATGCAGGCATTGGAGCTGCTGAAACCTTGACAGGAGATACTGCAACATAAAGCTTTAGCTTTCCCTAACACACCACAGCCTTTTCACTCACAGCAAACCCCATCTTCACAGCCCTTAGCCTGGCAAGTCTGGGAAAGAGCCCCAAAGAGATGGGAAATGGGAACACTTAAAAGGTAACGGGACCAGAATCTAAGACTGGAAAACAGAACAGCACAGTGGAAACTCAGGTTCAAATACAGGAGTTTTAAGTATCAGTGGGTATTTTATACTGGGGTCACCACCATGCTACCGTGACAAAGTGGACTGCATTAACCAACAGCTAACTCATGATACAGTAGCTATAGTTTTCCCTTTTAAATCCACTTGCTAATGTGAACCAGATTTGCAGCTCCATGTGCTCAGAACCTATGTGATGTTACGCTGAGGGCTGTTGCTTTTTTGGGCCTAGGGGGGATAGTGTTTTTGCGGGGCTGTGTTGGTGGTTTTTCTGCTATTGGGCTTCCCCCTACCTATCAAAGGGCACTTTGCTTACTCTGATATAATACACCACATCTGCCTCCCACCAGCTCAGCAGTGATCCTCATGGTTAGGAAATGCATGGAAAGATTGGATGTGTTTTTATGTACCACACAGCAGCTCATCTCCAGTCTAGTAAGTCAGGAACCAGGCATACCTGAGCTGAGTTTTTGTCTACATAGATGTGGATAACTCCTCCGTGTTTGTTACATTCCTCAATCACATCATCTTTAATTTCTGTATCCCAGCCAGCTTCTTCTTCACTGTAGGGGGGGGAAGGAAAAACAGGACAGAGATGGAATTGTTATCACGCAGAAAAAATTCAACCCAAAACCCATCAAAAAACCCTCTGCCCTATTCCAGTTCCTTACTCGGACGTTAAAGTCATCAACAAATGGCAAACAGACACAGACCACGATAAATCACTTACGTCTGAGGATTAAACATGTTGGAAAGCTGGAAGCACTGTGTTGCAATGGGTTGTACTGAAGCAGCTGCAGCCAGAACTGTTGTAATGGAAGAAAACAGAAAGAGGTCTAAGAACCTGCTCTGCACGGCTCCAATATAAATGAGTATCTTCTATCTATGCTTTAAAAATCACAACATTCAGCAGTAAGTTGTAACTGAACAGAAAATTGAAGGCAGAAAAGCCAACCTTGTAGCTAGACCCTTATCTATGATAGGCAATTTAAAACTGATCAATACAGATAACAGCACAGATGAAGTACAGCTGAAGCCAAGAAGTGAACAGCTAACCCTGTACATGGATATTGGCAGATGTTCAATGTAAATACATAAATGCATCTTCAATGCATCTAAAACTTCTGCCCAAGCTGTGTGCCAGCAGCACCTCCTCATGGAAGCCAAGCAGCAGCTGAGGATGGAGTAGCACCACCCCACCTGGCTTCACAGGAAGGAACAGACACTTCTGTACATCCTCCAAATGTATTTTAAGCATGCTGAATTATCCTTCAAGAAGTATATCCCTACTTTTGCCCCCTTGGAAACAACCCCATACTCAAACCCACACATTTTTAAGGACTGAAGTATGGGTGGGGAGCATTACCAACACTCAGGACATGCTATGAAGAAAGAATGAAGGAAGTACTTAACATACATTCTGGTTTTTACAGCCCATAATCAGACTGATTTCCTGCAGACACTAATACAACACAATTTCTCAGGCTGTTGCCAAACTCTGTACCAGAAGCATTTCACTTCTAGACACCTACAACAAAACTCACTGGGGACAAGTCATATCAAACGCTGCTTACCTTCATTCTGCTGAGATAGTCTCGTCTGCAAATCTAAAGAAATACAGAGAGTTTGTTAGTGTGTGTGCATCGCTGGGTCATCACCTGCCAGCCAGGCTTTTAGCTGTATTCTTGTGGTTAAGAGCTTGTTCAGGTACCACAACCCACTCTCACTGCTCCTCTCTAGCTGTGAGGGGTTTCACTAATCTCAGCTACTCAACTGGAACATTCTGTACTCAACAGAAATTCCATAACCAGAGGCAAGCTTATTTCAAAGAGAATGAATACCTCAGAAGTAAAGACATGACCATGTCCCTTAATTCAACATGTCATTTCCTCATTGCTTTTGCTGTGCTTGATCTCTCTGTAAGATGTATTTTGTTCCATGAGAAAATAATCACAGCAATTCTTACAGGCATTGGGAGTTTGGAATCTCTGCTAACAGAAAGCATTTAAGCACAGAACTGTCCCAACATGACACTCCGAAAGCAGTCAGCAATTTCAAGCAGAACACGAAGGTATTGAACCTGTTACTGTCCATATAAATGTCGTAATGACACAAGTTACTTTGGGGTTTTTGCAATTCAAAACATTTTCAAGTGTTCACAACATTTAATTTCCCCCAAAACCCCCCAATAATGTCTTAGTAACTTAACGTGGAGCTGTCCCAGTTTGAAGTAATGGGGACAAATGCAGACTTTTTAACCATTTCCAACTTATGACTCTAATGCTTGCTATCTTTAAACCAACAGAAAACTCCAGAATGCAGGAAGCATCAGCATAAGCCTTTTCACTTCCAATTCAATTCACACAAATTCTAACTGAGTTAGAAGACTAAAGTTAACCATCAGCTTTTATTCACCTGTTTAGAAAGCAGCCAGGTGACAGACCCAAGTAAGCTTCCCAGCTTACCTGGAAAGACCCAAGGTGTCAGGTATCCTTTGGGATACTTTTTCCCTAATAAACCCTTTTCCACAACACTGGGGGCCAACTGGAATGGTATTTCTTTTCTCTAAGTATCAGGCAGCAAGAGCTCTGCCTCACTGAGGAAGTCTTCCTCATATTCCTTCCCAAGTGACTTCCACAGAACTCCATGTACTGGGAACTATACTGAAAACAAGAGAGGGAAGGAGTAAGCTTGGAAGGCTGAACTGTAATAGGAATTGGCTATGTTTAGCATGTTTTCCACAGGGATCTGAACATTAAGAAATCCTGAGCTCCATGGAGTGATCAGTACTGGGGAAGACTGTCTTCGCCTGTATTCGCTGCACAAACAGCATAGATTTGGCCTGGTCTGTAACTAATTTCACCTAGTTAATCACTACCCAAACTTACCTGTAAATAAATGTGTTTTAAAAACATTAATAAACCCCCAAATCTCCTACATCCCTCAGGTTAGAGGAGGACAGAGACATCCCCCTCTGCAATTCTGACACAACTGCACAGGTACACCCTGTAGAACTGAACTCACCAGTGTCAGTAAGCCCCAAATGGGGCAAATCTACAAAGATCACCAGTGCAAGCTCTGTTTACAGCCTAGAATCACATCTGTTCTAACCACATCTGCTACCAGTACGTTGTAGGAACAGGTCTGACAGGTTCATTAGATACCACCTCCGTAACATAAATCCTATTCTTCAAGTAACTGAATTTTCTTGTTGCCCAAGACTGAAGAATGGTCCTCTCACTTCTAGATTCATCTGGAATTTAGACTCATTGTCACTCTTCACTGCCACCTCTTAATCTTCCCCACATGCAGCTTTAAATAGCATGTAAAAACTCAATATACCTGTCACGTTAAGGTCAAAGTACCTCCTTCAGTATGTTCCATACATATAATCTGTTCAGCATGACTGAGAAGTACATGCTTAGCACAGAGAAAGCAGAAATATCTATGAAAGCATTTTGTGTCTTAAACCAAAATGAAGTTGCATCTTTATTCAAAATGCAACTAGCTTTTAATAAACTGCAGCCTGCCAAGCATTACTCAAAGTGATTACTTACAACAGAACAGCAGAGTAGAGAGAGGTTGTGGATGGTAACACCCATTTGTCCCTCTACTGCAGGCACTATCTTATCTTTTGCATGAACTGACAGTTCCTTACCAAAAGTAAGGGATGATTTGTGCCAAGAAGCGTAAGAAGCATGTCCTATAGCCTCATAGTTATTTTAAGTTCCAGATTTTCAGACAGTTTATTAAAGAGCAGGAAATACAAGCTGCAGCTTCAATTCCTTTCCTTGCTGGAATTTTCTCCATTGGAATAACATCCAAGTTCTTAGGTCTCCTGTAAAACTAGTTCTTTGTTTTGGTTCAACCCCTCTTGAACATGGGTGACCATGTCCACTGTCCATCAGTGTGGACTTTACATCTCAGCTGCTCAAGTATGCTGTCTCTAGGAACACAGCTACGCTTCCAAAATGCATCACGCTGGCAGTTCATATTCATCCACTGGAATATTTAGATCTATTTTCCTCCTCCTTGGCTGTCTTTCACTGCTAAATCCCAGGCTATACTACTAGAATGTGTTTCAATTGTGAAAGGTGAACATGTACAACACCCCAAGAATGCCTTACCAACAGCCTGTCTGTATTTACTCACCTCACTCATACTCTTGTTGACTATTGTTATTTATGTAAATATTAAAACAAGATCAGCCCAACACCTGAATTTTGGCTTCAACAACAGCCTTGGACCTTCCTAAAATAACAGTCTGCCTTTCTTCGAGCCAGCTCTTTTTACACATCTTGTACTTCCTGTACTACCCACTTGTACAGTTTGATAACTTCTGAATGACACAAGTCAAAAGTTCAGAGAGAAGAGCTCTACTACTGCTCCTCAGGTAAGAAACTCAGTTTTATCAAAGACTGAGCCTTTAAATGCAGTTTCTCTGGAAGTATGCTGTATTTAGTAATATTCTCCAGTTCACCCATCTTTAGTATGGCTTTTTAAGGAGAGAAGTGAAGCCAGGGTAACAGGACTGGAAATTGGCCAGGCTGTGGTGTTCTTCCTTCCTTTCAAGCGTAGGTAATTTGGATGTTACAGCTATATACTGTATCACAGACTTAAAATACTTACTGGCAATACCAGATATCAAACCTCAAATTTCATGTACCTATTCCCTCACTAACTTGATGGGAGTTTTCTTACTACACTGAGATCTTACTTTCAGCTTTGCTTCTAACCCTGTGAATGGGGTTTTCTCCATGTTCCTAGCTAAGCACCCCCAAATTCCAAACTTTAATGACCAGTGTCCCCACTACAAACTGAGGCAGTGAGACTCTTTTGGAATACCCTGGAAGTGTTTTTTCATTCAACCTTAGCCCTGTTTCCTTTTTGTTCTCTTCAGGAGGTGGTAAATCTTCACCTACGCTTTCATGTTTTTTACAAGGCCTAAATCTTGATGAGGTAATTCTCAATTTTACTACTCCCCAAACTAAAAATAGGGGTTTATTATCAGTCCTTTTTCCTCTTCTTCATAGGCTCTGAGTTTATTCCTTATATCTTTGGAGGTAGTTAATCACCCAGTGCAGTGTGGAGCCCATTTCTAACAGGACTGTTTCTTCTTTCTGTGGAATACAGATCCAATATAGCATTAGCAATTTGGAACTGAAGAAACCTTTTACATCCTCACTGTTCAAACACCCAAGCTGCTCAGACCAGATGACTCTATGGCCTCATTTCTTCAACCACCACTTTAGAAATCAGAAGCCTTACAGACCTGCTTATCCTTCCATTTAAACTTGAGCAACTCGTGATCCCTCAAGTCAATGGTCATTTCTATTCTCATCCATAACATCTTCATTACTTACCAAATTGAGTTTAAAATAGCATCCCCTCTTCATGAGTCAGTGAGTGTTTGATGAAGAAATTTGTCGGATATCACATCCAGGAATATCTGGGCCCCACCATTATTACTAGCAATTCTTCTCCAATCTGTATCAGGGAAGTTAAAGTCTCCCACAATGACATAATTCCTGGTAGTAATTTTCTCTAATAAGAGTAAAGAGATCTTTAATCCATAACCAAATCTCACTTTGGGGATAGCTCATGACTCTATGGTAGTAAAAAGCTTTTTTTTCCAAAGTTACTTAAGTTGCACATGTCTGCATTACTCCTTTTGTACAATACAAGTAGAACAAACACCACTATTCCTACCACTTTCATTTCTAGTTTCTGAACATGCACATTCCTCAAAACCCTGTATTTGGCCTTATCACTTATTCCTCCAGAGCCATTTTGTCTCACACTGATTCCATTCTATCCTAACAGTTCAGCTGTGTCACACATTTTCAGCCATGTTACTGATTTGGGGCTTTGGACTTCTTTGTTTCTAATACGGGGGTGGGAAAAGCATCTGTGTTTTGATTTCTCACTGACTGTACCTGTTTCTAAGCAAGCCTGTCACCTACGTTACAGGTGATTTATCTCTAGTGTTATCTTTCCTTCTCCTGCACTGGGTACACTTCTTCCTTGCCCTTGTGCCTTTTTCACCTTTTTCTTCTCAAATAGAAAAAACCCTATTCCTCAACACACACTTCTTTTTTACTTGCCAGTTCCTATTCCTTCCATGGGATATCTATAGAGAGACCCTACTATATTCTTTTAGCAACTGTCTACAGTTTCATGTGTATGCTCTTCTCCAAACTGCACCTGAATAGCTTCGGTAACATGATTCAGGTGTATTTTAATCCTGAATCACTTCTGTCACACTTTGCTGGAAGACAAACAGAACAACACCCCTGCTCTTCATTGATTTCCTAACAGTTCTCTCACCTTCCAGCATCTAGTTGTGACATTCAAGTCTTTTTTACTGCTATCTCTGTTTCATGCCATTTGTTCTTGTATTAATAAAAAATAAGAAGAAATTCCACTCTGTAATTCCTCAACTCCTGGGTTACTCATTGCTCTAGTTCTGAAGCCATCTTGAACAGTTTGCTGTTTAGGCCAGCTATGACCTAGCAGCAGCAACCCTGTATCTTCAACCTCATCCCCTCTCACAACAAAAATAAAGTCTCAGTAACACTTTCAACATACCCACCTGCAGAACACACAAACTATAGCCAATTCCAAGCAACACACAAATTCCTTTATATACAGTGTCCTTCCTCACCAGGACACACACTGTATAAACCTAACACTACAGCTCTGTTTTTTCAGAGGGGTTATTGTCTTTCCAGTTATGAGCCTGCCATTTTTAACAGTCAACATCTGCACTGTGGTAGAATTAGTAGGGGAATAGTAAAGATAAAGAGATGAAGCCTGGGAATGGATTAAGTGAACTACAACAGATTTGCAAAAAATAATGCAAAGTGAATCACACCCAAAGCTGTTGTAAACTGTCACTGTTCATGAGTTCATGGAGTTGCACTGTTTTACAGCTTGTAAAACATGCAGTAATATCTATGTTCCCATTTTAAAAGATCACCAAATGTAGGTAAGTGCCTCTTGTCTCAAAACTATAAAGTATAAAGTATTTCTGAAGAATGAGTAGGTGATTTCTTACCTGCCACAGCTCCAAATGCCAGAGACCCACTCATCTGCAGTGCCTGCTGTGCAGCTGGGGGAATCTGCAAACCAGTACCTACAGCAGAAGATGGATGTACTTTATAGCAAGCAGTTTTCACTCAGGGGTGCAATATCACAAATCCCACTGTTTTCAAAAGCTTAAAAATACCATTTCACGTATTTAGCATAATATACTGTGGGGTGTGCCAATTCCAACCCTGCAAACTTCTGTATTTCTCCCCCCTTTCCTGTTAGTCATCACTCATACCTTCTGCAAGTCTTGCCATCAACTGAAGGCGACCAGTTGTTCCCAGGTCAATTCCAGTTCGTTCCAACTCATCACTGTCCAAAAATGAACTGGCACTGGAAGCATCAGTGCGCTCAGTTACGTGTCCAACTTTCATTGGCCTACCAGCCAGCTCAAATCCATTGAGTTGTTCCAAGGCCTTTTTGGCACACTCGGAGTCTGAGAACTGTAGATGGAAAAATATGAATTCAATAATACAGCCTAAAGGATTCAGCAACAATTCTACCATATGTAATATCCAGCTACATAAACATGAGAAACACTAAGTTTAAGATAACAATAGCTACAAACTAACTTAAGTGTGCTCCATGTTTTCCATTTAAACCAAATACATACAGTTTGGGTATTTACTTTTGCAAATTTAGATAAGAATGTATTATTGTTGAAGCTGGAGCATCCAGATACTGCAGTCAACATAAGTCATGGCTGCAGTTGTCTTTCAACACCTTCCAAGAATGAGCCACCTCCTCTGTTACCTCTAACTGCTATGCATTTACTGGCTATTCCTAACAGATGTTCTACTTGATGCTGTGTAGCACCTTATTAAATATAGGAAAGTTCCGTCAGTACTAAACCCATCAAATACAGGCTATATAGTGCCTTTGGTTTAATATGTCTCCAAGTGCCAGAGGTCCCATGACAAACTGCCATGTCAGTCAATAAACCCAAGTTCACAGAATTATGTATCTGAGGGTAAACAGGAAAGCTGTTTTCAACTGAAAGTTGTAAATGCCAGTCTTTATTTACTAGTATCTTTACCTGCAGATGACAGCACTGCTTTATCAGGCACTGACACAAAGTACACTATTCCATCCTAAACACGTGCCCTGCTCAACCACAACACCCACAGAGAACTGTCATAAACAAACAAAAAGGCCACTGGTGGATCTCCTGCAACATGACATTTCTAAGTAGAGACTTAACAAGAGAGTGCTGAGTAAGCTATACTACTACATGGGAAAGTTACATTAAGAAGTTGTCTAAGTAGTCTGACAATTCCAGTCATACCGTAATAAATCCATATCCTTTTGAGCGTCCAGTTTCACTGTCCATCATGAGCTGAATGCTTTCAATCTAGAAGTAAAAAGACAGCTATTTATTAGCATCTATTTTGGAATAAACCATGAAATATCAAACCAAAACCTGAATACAGCCCTGCAAAATACACGTATATGAAAGTGAAACCACTTTTAATCAGTTCCTCATTCCTTCCTTAAGTCAAATGAGTGCACAGGCAGCTGGCTATGGACTTTGATACTAAACCAGCAGGGTGATGTACAATTTGTCCTTTAAGATAATCTACAGGCAGAGGCTTGGTCCTTATGCAGCATTCCACCAGACAATGAGCAAGCAGACATCATCAAACCCTATCCAGAACGTTACAGTCATGGCATCTCACAGGCTGAGGAGCTCCATTTTACAAAGTAAGAAAAGCAGTTTGCATGAGTTTGACCAGGAGCTTTTAGAAAAAGGAGCGTATTTTAAATAATTATTGGCATATGGGAACTTTTACGTTACAGATCACAATTTAAAACATATTACTATGCCTTCCAAGAGCCAATTCCCAAGTGTTGGGAAGAGACAGCAACACAGAACTAAGGAGTAAGAGTTAGACTGGAGTACAAGGAAAACCTTCACAGCTCTGTAGGTCAGCTTCCTAAACCACATTAATCCCACTGCCAGACCTTGACAGGAAACAAAACAAGGACAGGTGGCTTCATGTTTAATAAACTGTGGCAATTTTCCAGGATTCTGTATAACAGAATTGAAGAGATACACATCTGAATCTGAATAAAGCATCTGGAAAGTGCTGTTACAGTATGTATGAGGCAAGATCCAAAGATAGTACTGAAAGGAACATCAATAGACTTGATGTATCCTTATTTTTTCCTTCCATCAAGCAGCATGTTAAGTATGTTACTTTTTCTCTAACAACAACATGCTCATGATACCTTAGTTAACACAATAGGATTACATGTATGATGACTCCACTGGAAATTTCCTATTCAATCTACTCTTTATACAAAAAGATATTAGCATGCTGCAAACTGGGGCCTAATGGTCAGGAGTGAAAAGGGGCCAGCATCAAGCTGTATGGGACACACTGCCAGTGTGTGCTCGTAACATGAGCAAAAATCCTCAGAAACAGATGAAACTACTATATTCACAGTGTACAGAGCTCAGACCCCATCCTGTGCTTTGTGCTTTAAGCTGTGACATGGGGCCCCCATTCACAATCATGTCAGGGGAAGATATTTACAAGCTGCAGAAGCCAAGATACGATGTAGGAATTGGGTTTTGTAAGGGTTTTTGTTCTGTAATTTTAGCTACTCATTGAATTCTCAGCTCTCCTTCACAGAACCTGCCATTCAAAAATCAGTGGAGCACATTACACATCAAGGTTCTCTCCAATACTATGCACTTAAAGCTCTGTAGATGTACAGGAACAGAAGAGCAGGAAAAAGCGGAAGTGTTTTGCAGGTGTGAAGCTTAATTATTTCCAGAAGCTGCAAGTACTCTACAACTAATTTGGCGTTTTAAGATTAACCACCAAAAACTGAAAACGTACCCTGCCAAATGGCTCAAAAATTCCTCGCAGCATATCTTCAGTTATGTTGAAGTGTAATGATCCCACATAGAGCCTCATAGGACCAGCACTGCCCTTCTGCAGATTATTTGCCATTGCTGCTGCTCTGTTTTTCTCTGCCTACGGAAGAAAGAAAAACCTTCTGTAAGACTTTAATAACACCCCTTAACATAAGCAGTACACACCTAGCAGATACACTAACACACACAAGCTGGTTTATAATCTGCACACTCTCAATTAGACCTTAAAACCTACAAAACCCAAGCCCATGACCAAGCATAGAGACACAACTTCCAAAAGCCTTCTAACTAAGTAACTTCATGCAGAATTCTGGCTTCTACCTAGTAAATTAACAACTTCATTTTTACATATGCTGGAAAGCATACAAATATACACTACAATTCTGTAACACTATTACAGGTTCATTATTACTGTTTTCTTCTGTGTTTTCAAAAAGCATTTATAACACGTTGAATTGCTGTAATTTGCCTGTCAACTATACGAAACAAAGATCCATTTATCATTAGCTTAAATAACCTTTTCTGGTACTTTTCCACACATTCAACAGTAACCAAGTTTTCCAACAGTAAAGTCTTCCTAGAAGCCAAACGCAGCACTGCTCAACAAGAATAAAGTTGAGGTTTACAACTCCTTACCTGTGATGCTTGGACTATGATTGGTACACCCAAGACTCTCTGTCCAGTTAGTCCTATTGCCAGTGGCACTGAACTAACATCAACAAATTCAACATAAGCAATTCCCTTTGAACGTCTGGAATTCCTATCGGAAATCATTCGCACATCACGAACCTGAAAGGCAAGAACAGAAATACTGTCAGAGATAAAAGAAAGAACCTAATGCCTTAAAAAAACCCTAATGCAGTCCGTTTTTTCCAGTAAGGAATTAAAACCCAATTATTTGCCAAGTCCACAGTTTTGTAATTATGTTGCAAATCTAGAGTAGCATAAAGCTATCTTAACAGAGGCAAGCCAGCATTAAAAGCTGCTATTCCAAGTCAAATGTAGTACGCTACAGGAAAAAGGACAGTAGAATACTTGCAGTACTGTAATATTAAGCCAGAACCTTACAGCTGACGGGACTAATTAAATTTTTCAAATTAAAAGTTAAATTTTAATGACAGTAGAAGTGGCAGAACTATCTGTCAAAGAATGAAACATCTGGAAAATGAAGCTATTTGAATCAGAATTGCATTGCCATGGTTTACATCATCTGCTGAGCAATGAACTCCTGTTAAATTACATTTTCATGTTCAGAGCCTTTAAGAATTAACTGGTCATCACTGATTCCGCCTTTAACCTGGACAGGAAGCTACAGAAAGCCACTTGCTAAAAATTCTGTGTAATATTAATCCTGTACTAGGACACCTTTTGGAGGTATTCAGAATCATTGTAACTTCCGTCCTTACTTTTCCTACTGTAGAGAAAAATTCTTCCAGGTCTCTTGGTCGAATTCTTGCAGCCAGCTGCATGCAGAATACTGTCCGAGCATCCCTCTCCTCAGGGGTAAGATTATCAATAGGTTCTCTGGAAAGAGAAAGATTTGGTTAAGAAGTAATATGAATTAAGATAACTCATCTCTGGACTAAATATGAAACTTTAAATAATCAGTACTTTAGAGTCTGGTGGGGAAAAAAGTTCCTCCCATTATATAAAAGGGCAGAGTCAAGAACTGAAGGGAATGCCTGGTATTACTATAATAGTTACTTCATTAACACAACTAGGCATGTTTCAACTGTTACCATTAAATATGACTGAAGAATTACATACTAAGTACAGAAGCCCCAACTAAACAGAAGTGCTATTTTGCTACTATCTAGAAGAATCAGCAGCACTAAGGAGCCTGCAGTCAAAAAGATAAGGTGAAAGGACAGGAAAACAAAAGAAATGTCAGAGCCTGCACTGAATTTCCAGTCATGCAGTAGGTACTTCTATTTTTATGAATATTAAAAAGCTGACAATACACAAGAAAAGTTTAAACTAAATTATCTCATAAACAGTTTGTTAATAATTAAAAAGAAACAAAGCAAGATTGGTTAATTTTAACTGCATTAGTTTAAGATTAGTTTAATCTCATTAGCAGCAATCTAAATCCAATTCCCTTAAATGAGAAGCCTAAGAATAGATAAGCACCTCCTGGATTTCAAAGATACTTGGCTGGCTGCTCTACAAATAACATCACTACACACTGGATAGGGAAGAGAAGCATTTGTGCAGTACTTTTCCATTCTGTACTTAAAATTATGAAGTATGATTTAGCAGAAAGGTTAATTTAAACCACAATTAACACAAAAAAGCTTGAGAATACAGTAACACAAAAAGGAAACCAAGATATGTTTTGCAAACTGCTATTATTTATGTAAGTGTGCAGTTACTGGGAGGGAAAAGAGCCTGATGGGGAGAAAACAACATCTTTTCAATGCTCTCCTCTCAGGGGCTATCTGAATGAACTCCAGCATTACTTGTGAGTGTAAGCTGGAGAGCAAGTAGACATGCATTATTGCACCATTACTTTTCCAACTTCAATTAAATAAAACAAACCAAATCCCATCACAAACATGTAAATATTCCTACCTAACAGGGCTCTTGTCTTTCCTGAAGGGACTTTTGCTTCTGGAGCGCCTTCTGCTATGAAGAGAGATCGACAAGATTATTAGAAAACCTTCAAATACATCAGGCTGGTTTTAAGCAGATGTAATAAAGAGCAAAGAAAACCACCTTAATTTGATGCTGTGAGGCAGACCAATCTTCCCTCTGATGGCACTGTTGAATTTTGGACCAGAACTACGGTAAGAGCAAAGACACATGTTAGTCACTAGAGTACCCTGTTCACCATCTCCTGTCTGTGCCCCCATTCCACTGGAGGCGCTCACCCACCCTCACACCTGAACTTGTGAACATTTTCCATTAGCAGCACCCATCGTATGCATAAGCTACGTGCAGCACTCCAAACTGTAATGCACAGACTATCCTCCCTGCTCAGTTTCAATGTCACAAAACCCCAGCATAGGCAGGACGCCAAGGAACAACCAAATCATGGGTCAGACATAGATGGCACATTTGCACGTGCAAAATATTCTGAACTACAGTCACTGCTGTTATCTTTCTGACATAGTTTTTTGTCCACAGGCATTTTCTACCTACTGTGAATGCAAAGCAGTACCCTAATGGCCTGGAACTCGGCCTCAGAGTTTTGAGATGGGTTTGTGGTGATGACAGGCCTATTTGCTCAGATGCAACATTTTAAACCAGAAAGTTTCCTGACATTTAAAGCGCAAGGGGAAAGCAAAGTTGCTCCCTGCAGACGCATTTGCTAATGTTGTCTCAGCTGGACCCACATGGTATGAGTATATAAATACGGTTTCCTACAAGTAAAGTTCTTGCTAGGACATCAAAACAAAGAACCAGCTATGCCAGCAGTTAACTTTATATAGACATGTCACCCAGAAGGAATCCAGTCTCCTGGCTGAAGCTAATTTTAGTTCTCCAGGCATCACAGAAGGTATCAGAACACATGGCAATCCGCCCACTGCTTCCACGATAAGGACAGTCCTCTTGATAGTTATTGTGGCATAGGGTAACAGTCTGTGACATGAACAGAAAAATTCAGCCTATCTTGTTCTCCCTGAACTTGATCTCCTTGTAGATACAAGCAAAAGAACACCACCTGTTAATGTTCCTCTTGTATATCCACTGAACAGGAGAGGCACTGCTCACAGACTGAATGCTAGGGGCTTAGTCTTTCCATCTGCAGAATTCATTCTTTCTGCTGTGGCTATAAATTGATATGAAAGCACCCTGAAAGACACAGCAGGCTGAAAACATCAACTAATCTTTCACCAAATCCATTTAAGCCAACCAATTTGTCTGATAAACATCATCTCACTACTCAGTGGAGCAGGAATGCTTATAGTTAAACTCAGCATCCACAACACGGAGGAGGACGATCATTTTTAAACATGTCATGACACAGGTAGAAGCAGTGGGCCAAAATCTAAAACCATGCTGGCCAGCTTAAAGCAGGGGAACTATGGTCCTGGGTAACACTGGAAAAAGAATAAAGAAAAAAAAAGACCATTTAGAAACTACTTATTAAGAGAAAATAACTAGTTATTTAGAGAAAAGATAATACAAAACTAGGCACATGTTGAGATGAGATTACTATCATCAAAAGCAGACTTTTTGCCTAGGATAAATTACTTCATTTCCTACTCCAGTTCAGACAAACAAAAGCCGAGTGTGTCCATTCAGGTGTCCAATGTCCATCACACATCCTGCCAAGGCTGCAGCTGGAAACGCTGGTACTAATTCTACAGGCTGGCTTCTTAGCAGAGACAGGATTACTGTGCATCTTCACACCTCCTGATGTAAAACATGGTGTTCTCCGTTTCAATTCAAATGTAGCAAGACAAACCAATGACTATCTATATTTTGTTCACTACCTCACAATACCAGAGAAATTGCCCAGAACAGCTATAGACAAGTTATCATAAAAATGAAAAAGATCCCTCACAACCATTTGTCTTCCTGGCACGATGTATCTTGAGTCATTAAAACAGGCATGAGGTTCTGTAGTCATGGCCATACTTTCAACCTCTTCTTGAGGAAACTAGCTTGGAAGACTGAACACTAAAACCTCCAAGTTTCTTCAAATGAAGAAAGCCCTTTGAGATAGCCAGAAGAATGCAGCAATTCCCAACCAAATGATAAGATAAAGGACACCTCCTCCACACAACCCCACACTGGAGGTGACAAGACTGGCAGGCTCAATATCTGGAAGGCTGAAGATCTTGAGCAAGTGCACAAGGCAGTCTGGAGCCATGACAGTAGCACTGGCAGAACCCAACAGCCACTTCAATCTTATGGGTGTCAAAAAGCTGCAGATAACACTCCAACTGTGCACAGCTGAAATCTTCAGAGCTGAAACCTAGAGAAGCTTTAGAGAGGCTGATGGGCCCGTTCCTGAAGACAAAGCAAAGCTGGGCTGACATGATCTATGATCCCAAGTACACAGGATGGATGGAAGCACAGGATGCCACTGCATCTCAAGAGCCAGGAGCTGCACTAGGTTTTCACTATTTTGAGCAACCTGGTGTAGTGGACGGTGTCCCTGCCCACAGCAGGCAGGTTGGAACTATATAAACTTTAAGGTCCCTTCCAACCAAAACCATTCTGTGATTATGAAAATGCCAACATCCAGCTGACTTGGTGCAAAATCAGACCTCATTTCTTATTTGCATTTCGAAAAGGAATGTGTTTCCCTGGGTTGGAATCCAGCCATCTAGAAAAACATTCACGTGCAGAAACCTGTGCAAACCTGCAGTTTCTCAGAAGGTGAACAGTGTCTTCTCTAGCATCCTGAGAGTTTTCTCCATTGTGGATGACATTAAATGTCATGATTAAAAACATACATCATTTTCAAACGCTACTTCTGACAAGATTTTGAGATTTGACAACAGTTGGGATGAGACACAGACAAAGCAGACACAAATAGCCTCAGGTGAAAGCCAAACACACAGCCCAGTTCTCACCAGTGAAGGGGATGCAAAGGAGAGGGCAAGAACACAGAACAGCAGAAGCACAGAAATAATACCAATGAAAAGGTGGGTTTGGAGAAATGACTTTCAACTATCAGGGACTATGCACAGCAGAAGTGCTAGCAAGCCAAGTATCTGAAAGGAACTGAAGAATTCTTCTAAACAAGTCTGAGAGAAACCAGGGCAAGTATGCAATGTGTGGGCACTGGTAAAACAAGATGCTTCCAGTCTGGACTCATAAACACGGAATTGTTTATGCAGTAAATGATTAAGAGCAGCAACTCCGTAAAAACCTTTGTCATACAAGCAAAAGGCTTTATAAGCCTGTAACTGAAGCCAGGCTGTTACTCATTTCTGACAGTTAAACCATGAGGTCCATACACTGAAGATAGAGAGGACATGTAGAAAACTTGTTATGTTAGTTCTGTGATGAACCTTGTTTTCCAGAGAGTTGTAAATGTACCTTCACTTGCTTTTGCACCTCTGAGTTCAGGTAGGAATGCAAACTAGGAGGAGGAACTGGATACATTACTGCCTTCCTCCTCTTGACTCCGTATTTATTGACACTCTCCAGCCCTAACCTCTCTCACCTTTTCCAAGATGATTAGTGACCAACGCAGAAAGCAGAGAGTGAAACTTTAAGCTTCCACATAATACACTGAAGCAGCACACATGCAACCCCACATCAGTAACCTACTAGGGACTTCTATAGCGGCCTCTGAATCTGCGATCTCTACTCCTGGAACGGCTGCGCCTGCGTTCTTTGCTTCTGCTCCGTTTTCTTTCCCGGCTTCTGCTCTTTTTCCTTTCCCGATCGCGGCTCCGTTTCCGTTCCTTGCTTCTGCTCCTCTTCCTGTCATGGCTTCGACTTCGGCTCTTGCTCTTTTTTCTCCTGAGAAAGAAAAATACACCTTTGGTTACACACAGGGTCAGTGCTGTCACTCATCTCACATTCCACAGTTCCACTAACCTGATGTCACACTGATAGGAAAACCCTTCTGCTTGTTGGTATTTATACACGTTTCTTTTGGTGGGTAAGCATGTCAAAAGCTCTCAAGTTAATCATGAGCAACAACAAAGTGCTCCAAAGCACTTTCTTATTTAAAATTGTATAATCACTGAAAAATGTTTCCAGGAAGAGTAAGAAGACTTAAGAAAGACTTTCCTGTACATAATAAACGGAATACTTCATGTGTCTTTCAAACATACTTTAAATACACCATCTAGATGCTAAGAATAAATTGTATTTTTAGAGCAAAATAAACAAAGACACAGTAAAAGTAGAAAGGAAGAGACAAGTCTGATTGAAAGAAAGGTTTTCTCTTGGTACTCCCTGCCATCAGTCTTCACATATTGCCTAAGAGTTTTGCTTCCTACTTGCTACTCCCACTCATAAGCCACTTCCTCTTCCAGGTTGGAGGAAACTGCAGATCTTCATCATTGTAACCATTCAGTTGGAAAATTTAAACTTTTTATACGGCTATGTCAATTATACCTCACATCTGAAGACCACTGAGCCACTGCCTCACTACTTTTGGGTTATTTGCAGGTTTTTTTCTTTCTATCTCAGTATCAGACCATAAAAACTCAAGTCTCTTAGGTTTTAAGACACGTATCTGTGTATGCATACATAAAACATATGTTAAACAGATGCTCAAGCCAATTACTTGAAGTAATTTAACTCAAACTACGTTTGGGGAATAACCAATTTTGCTGCTAAACTTTTGCGATTCACAACATCCTTTGCTACTGAATTTTTCCTCTCCTCCTTTTGGGGCTCCAGACTGCACACAGCATCTTCTGTCAAAGTGGTCACTTGTGCATTTAACTTCTTAGGCCATACTCCCCTTTTCCAAAAACTTCATCCCTGGTACTCTCTATGGCCATGGGCAAACTTCCAGTCAAGTTAACTCAAAAACTGAAATGGGGAAGATGCCACAGGAGCAACATTTCTGAACAGACACGAGGGTACCATTAGAAAACCAGAAAAGGAAGTGAAACTCCACACAATGACACTGCAAGACAGCAGCAAAACACTTGACTTTCTTGACTTCTACAATAACTTTCTTTTCTAAACTTAGTTTACTGTTTTTCTGAATTGTACATACAAACTCTGAACATACAGGTCCACCATGAAAATGGAACCATGTGCAGAAAGACAGCAAATGCCATTGTTCTGCTCTCAGAGAGGATGCAGCAACTAAGGAAATGAACTGAAATGTATTCCAGTATTCTCCTAATTCTACCACAAATCAAGGTCAGAACCATTTCTAAGATTTAAACCCCACTGCTTTTTTTCAAATCCCAGTTTCTATTTTGAGACATGGCAGCCAAACAAAAGCAGGGTATTACATGCCATGTATGTATTTTAAAGCAACAAAAATGCAGAACTTAAAAATACTGGGAGCAGCTGCTTCTGATGGGGCTTTAATAGCCAGCATGACAATGACATTCACATTATTGTTGAAACACACATGTAAGATATAATCAATTTTAGATTATTAGATTCCAACATATGTCTGTTGGAATTGGACTGCTCATTTCTCTGGAAAAGTGTTCTTTGGATCACCATCATGAATCTCTCTGATTTCAGAAGATGACAACAGCACACGTGTTGACATCTCAAGTGAGCTGTGTATTACAGACACACACTGGTTACTGTTTAGTCAACTATCAAATTGACAATTATTCATCCTACATCAACTATCTCATCAGCAAATGATGCTTGTAAGGTAGAGAATTTCTTTCTCAGACTTAAACCCCTTCTATTTATTTGGAGTATTTGACTCTGATGCAAAGCATTTTTCTTCAAGGATTTTACTCCATACAGGCTGGGTCAGCAGCAGTGTTCTGACCCTGGAATTATGCTTCCTGAAGAAGCTGGGCTTGGACTCTGCTTCTTTGAAAATGTTATAGTATAATTTCATAGAGTTCAGATTACAAACAAAAAACTTGTAAGCTTTTGTATGGGGTGAGAATAGAGGGAAGGGATCCAACACCCCAAAACTCCTCAAGGTGCCAGTTATCTTTGAAGGCTTTGAACTGTTCCAAAGCACATAAAATTCTACACCAAATCCATTTTTAAAATGCAAAATCCACTGCACTGCTAATGCAACAAGTAAAAAATTAAGTATGCTGAATGTACCAAGTCTGTATTTTTAAACGATGCTAACATTAGATGTTTCCACAATTTTGATGACACCAGTGACAAGGGAGTAACTACATTTGTAAACAAAAAGAACATTTCCTAATTGCTGTAGTTGCAGCACTTGCAGATACCAAGCTTTTCCATTTTATACCCCTAAACAATACTGACATGCATTTGCAAGGTTACAAAAACTAGAGGCCTCCCCCGAAATGCAGAGAACTGAGAAAACACTCACTTCTTGCTGCGTTCTTCATGGCCATTGGCACTGCTCAATTTGTTCTCATCCTAAGCAGGGTTGATAGAAGAACATCATGAGGACGAAGCGGAAACATTTCAAGTGGTCAAAGGGTAATGGGAATAGGAATAAGAAAATACAAAACAAAAATTATAATACTAAATTGCTTGTTTGCAGTTTAATGTGGAAAGATTTAGAAAATTTAGATAAGCATGTTTAACCACTTTGCTGCTTATATTTAAGTCATACAATTACAAAATACAAGACTTACATCATTTAAAAGTGTGTATTAAATTGTAGGTACTTCCTTACATGGTTTAGAGAGCAAGTTATCCTGTAGAATTCAGCACTCAAGTGGTTAACTGTTATTTCTATAACATGTAAGAGGAAGTTTCACGTTTGTGCTTGTGTGCCCCTCTGACAAGTACCAAGGCTATATGTCTGCCTAAGCCCCGGTGGCTACGCTAGCAGCAGCCACTATGGATTTCCTGTGACCGATGCCATTCCCGAGATCTTCACTCATTTTCGTTGAAGGGTTGTAAGAGCTTGATGTCACCTCTGTCACACATCTCGCCCTGAAGCAAACAGGGATTCACACTGCTTTAGTAACGTCGACTCCCAAGAAAGTCATCAATAATCCACCAGTCCAGCCTAAACATTCCCTATTTCCATACCTGTTTACATGGAAAATATCCATGTTAAACCAGGACACAAGAATTTTAAACATAACAATTTACAAATTTCTCTTCAAGATTTTAACGTAACTGCTAAGTATTACATAAAAAAATTATACCACTTAAAACTTACAAATGCTCATCCAAAATTCATCACATGGTTGTAATAAACACTGCAGAATAGACTAACAAGAACTGCTATAGAATTTATATACTTGCTTTACAATTTAATCACATCACTTACATGAAAAGAACAATTCCTAAGCGACTTAAACTGAATATACATGTTTTGTGACACCAGTACTAAAGCATGCATAATGTTAACACTTCACCACCATTTGGTGGAAAACAACAAAAGACAGTATTCATTTGCTGCTGGTCTATGGGAAAGACATCACTATGCTCATTGAGAAAAATTTTGCATTAAAAAAAATAGACATTTCCTAATTCAACAACTCGGACAGAGAAATACAAGAGCTTATTTTAGAATGACACCGCAGACTGTGATACTGTCTTTTACTTGCTAAGAACATTCTATTCAGGGATCCAAGAATTTCCGTCAATTCGTTCACTCAGCAATGGATTTTCATCTGCCCTGTTAAAAGATTAACCACCACCAGCCTTCTGCATTAAAAGCAAGTCTCACTCTTCTTGCACCGAGCAGACTGTTCAAATATTTACTTGCCATGGGACTGGTGAAAAGGTTATTCTTGGAACCCTGCTGTTTTCCCAAACCACTGCATTCACCTTGTTGCTATACCAAACTGGACCTGGCAATTTTAGGAGAGGTTTTTGTTTTCTTGGTTTTGGTTGTGGGGGTTTTGTTTGTGGGTAGTTTTGTTTTGGTTTTTGTTTGGTTGTTGCTTTGGTTCTTTTTTTGTTTGTTTAAACCTAGGGGACCACGGTACAGCGATACGTCACTCAATTACTACCTTATGATTGACAGTTCACACTGGAATCAAAGGTGAATTCATGGGAGTAGAGGTGAGATATCGTTAGGCAAGTCTACAAAGAGAGATAGATGGGCATTTATTCATCACGCTGAAGTGAAACTACTGCACAATATAATTACATTAACAGTATATATTTACTTGTAAGTTACATGTAATGCATCTCCAATAAGATAAATCATGAGGGCTCCAGGGATGTTAGTTTACAGTTCAGCAGTAGTTTCATGAATAATGCTAAATTAAGGTAAACAGGACCTCACTGGTAGATTTTTCTCACCTTCTTGTAAGGAGCTTCAAGCATTGCTTCAATATCAATATCATCAGCCATTTTTCAGGATACCTGAAAGAAGCAGCAAAATCCACCTGAGAACAAAAACATCCTCATGCTTTAGATACCAAAAGCTTTTCCTTAAGAGACCATCAATGCATTGGCTCAAATTCACAAAGCAGTGTCTCAGAAGACATTTCCAACACGAACTGGAATGAAGCTTTGCCCACTGAGATTAGAAAGAATGTGACACAAAGCAATTACAGCTGCAGACAACAAAATGCTACCGAACACAATTAGCCAGTGGAAACCCCAGAGGTGTTCCACTTATCTCCTTCAAAACAAAGAGCACAGATGATTTATGATACAGAAACACAGGTCTGGTGGCCATCTTGAGAACTACCAGAGCTTGACCAAAGGAGGCAAGCGACATGTAAAGAACACAGTACAAACATTCAGGCAAACCTGTTCACAGCTTCCCAGCATTTGTTGCCACATTTACTGAGCTGAAAACTTATCAACACTAATGTCCTTTAAGAAATTTGGCCTCCTGCATAATGAGGGCCACAAGAGACACAGTTATGGTTCAGGCATTAAGAGCTGCTGAAGCATACACAAGATCATCCAGCCTCAAACCTCAGATGCCAGACAGAAAGAAATCCACCAAGCCATGTAACACAAATCACCACACATGGGTTTGGGTTGGTTGTTTTAAATGGTTCCCCTAATTTTTCAACTTCAACCCCCCAGTGTAATTATGCATTTATTACACTCTGAATCCCTTTGGCATGTTATTTTCTTTCCTGCTGCAGGTTTGCTATTAAGAACCTCTCAAGTCCCTACACTGAAGTACAGACTCAACTTCCTCAAATCTCTTAATACAAGTGTCTCTCTTTTATGCTTTCTTAGGTTCAGAAACAGCCAGCCCTTCAGATTCAAGTCAGGCAGTCCAAGAGGGAAAATTTTCCTGCGTGTGTGCCCATAAAATGGATTTTTGAATATACAGGTTAGTTCTTACACCTTTGTTACAGGTATTGCTGTAGGAACTGTGCTGAAATGTTGCCACATCCGGAGACTTGACCAGCAGAATGAAATCACTCCAAGAGCCTTTAAGTTGTTCACTCATAATGGAGATTATCATACCAGAGCTGTACCATTTGTAAGAAATCACTCTCCCACCCACATCTGACCACTGCTCATTAATAAAAGGAAGAATAAAACGTAATCCTTTAGCAGTATCAGAGTACTGTAAATTCACACTCAGTTACTTCACTGAGGCATGTAACCTCAGTTTCAAGGTATTACCTCTTGGACTATAGCACTCTCAATTACAAACATTACCATCTTTAGTTTAATGGCTCAATTTTACTTTTTTGGCTTTTCAACTCATCTATATGCATGATTTATGCACACGATTTAATTCACCGCTGCTCTGTCAGTATTTGGTAGGAACAAGTACCTCAGTATGATTAAGGGTATCAAAAGCCTCAAGCCAGTTCCAGGGCTCTAAAACAAAACTCCCACCTGCAATGACAGGTCCCTGTGTGTCATTTAGCCAACACATCAGTCAACCTGTGGTGGGAGCCTTCATTCTACTGCAGGATGGCGGGGGTCAGAACAGGGACCACCAAGTCAGAAGTGGCACAGAAAAGCAAACAGGGAGCAGATATTACTGCAGCCACCCGACTACTGAGAGTAAATAACTGTCATCCGGTGCCTTCAAAACAAAGGTTCTTATTCACACAGCATTTAGCCATGGAATTCACTGTTACAGAGCACTGGGGATGCTAAAGGGAAAACAAAAACAAAACCCACGAAAGTTGACAGAAAAAGCTTGTCATTAAACAAAGACATGCCTTGTGACCCTGAACCATAACTATGTGACTGAGAGCACACAGAGAGAAGTATCGCCGTCCCACTGCCTGCTGCTTCTGTTCTTTCAGAGGCATTTACTGATGGCCACCATCACAGACCAGATCCTGACTTACACAGACCTTTGGTCTCACCCCGTGCAATCTGTGCTCTTTGTACTCTGTACATAACACATTCATTGGTGTGATACTATGTTTTTATCAGAATACCTTCTGTTCATATAACAGAGTTCTACCATCAACACTAATTCATGTAATGCACACAACGATACTACATATAAAGTCGTTATTCTTTAACAAATAATCAAGAGCCCTTATTCATTTCAAATTAGTAGAAAATCGTAACAGATTCTCAAGGATCTGTCATTAAGCACTGAAGCACAAAGCAATTCATAAAAACCTTTTAGCTTGCTCAAAAAGTTCTGCATATGCCTGACATCTGTCACAAGAAAGCAAAAACCAATAAAAAAACACCCCCACAAAAACCCAAAACAAATAAACAAAAACACGACAAGGAAAACCCCAAAACAAACAAGGGATGAACTACACTTGAGATTTTGTGAGTCTACAGAAAACCTAAAGGGGCACGGAATTTACTGCTACTGGCCTAGCCAGTATTTTGACGGCAGATTCCATCTTTTTGCTGTGTTCTATTACATAAAAAGAGTTCCTCTCCTCGCCATTATTTGCTTTAGGAATTCCAGAGATGACAATTCCATTTTCGCTTTGCAAGGAGCCTCCTGGAAAAGCATCAGGAGAGTTTAAGGAGAAGGCCGACGCTTCGGGGAGGCACCTATGCCCAGATGGCTGCCACCCGCATGCTCCCTCCGTGCGATCGCAACGAACAGCGTCGGATTCCCGACCACACCGCCGCGGTGACCAAACCCTCTCCGTTCCATCGGGGCTCCAGCCTGCTCCGAGCGCCACGCCCCGTCCCCTGCGCGACCTCAGATCACCAACAGCCAACGCTCCGGCCCGCCCCATCTCCCAACGCAGACCCCGGGGCCGCTCCCCGCCCGGGCCCTGCCAGCTCTGAACACAGGGCCTGAGCCCCGCGCGGGCCAGGGCTGGTCACTCTGCACAGCGCCATCGTGGGGGAGCTCGGGGAGGGACAACGGCGCGACGGGGACTGCCGGGCCCGCCCGCTACGTGGCCATAAGAACCACAGAACTCGGCACGGCCAGGCCGCGGTCTCAGGCAAACCGCCGAGTGTCCCCACCGCAAAAAAGCTCAAGGGGAGCATCGGCGGGGAGGCCAAAGATGGTCCCTGGGGGTACGGTACAGGGGCGGCCAAGCCGGAAGAAGGCGGCCATGGCGGCGGGAGGGGCACAGGCCTCTCGGGCCGCCCGCAGGCCAAGGCCTCAACGCTCCGCGGAGCAGGCCGCAGTTCTCCCAGGCGGCGGGATGAGCGCTCCCCGCCCGGTAGCTACCTGCGCCGTGGGCGGGTGTTGTCCTGGTTCGGATGCCCGAGGTTCGGCTCCTGGTTGCGGTGCCGGCTGCGCTAGCGGCGGGGGATGGGCCCGAGGGCTCAGGAGCCCTCCACAGGGGTCTGAGTGTGAGATGAACGGCGCCGCTCGGCCAACCCGAGAGCGGCGGGAGGCGAGGGGAAGCGCGACCGTGGCGGGCGGTCCCCGGACCCAGGCTGGGCCCCGGCTATGGCACCGGCGGCTGCTCCCCGAAATGGCGCCCGCCGCCACTCGCTGCTCGCAGCTCGGCGCTCGTTACGGGGCCGCCCAGTGCCCGGCGCAGGGGCTCTCGCGAGACGCACGGCCAGACAACGTCCGCACGCACTACCGCACGAGCAGACTCTCGCGAGACATCGCTCCCGGAAGCGGAGGATTGAATGTTCGCGATACTTGGGGGGGGGGCTGTCACGGGCCCCAACATTCTCGCGAGAGGTCGGCGGGCCAGCTTCAGGCAGAAAGGGCGGTCGCCGTGGGGCGGTGATGGTTGACACCGGTTTCACACCCGTGTGGGGCCGCCCGTTCCAACGCCTGTGCCTCTGCCCGGATTCCCAATCTCCGCCCAGCCCTCCGTCTGTGGCGTTCTGCAGGGGCCCTGGGGCTGGCTGTTGCGTGCCCCAGCCGCTGTCCTGCCCAGGGGTCTTGTCCAGGCTGGCTGTATTTGCTCTGTTAAGTGTCACTTCATTCCTTTCCTGGGCACCATATCACCATGAGTGGTTTATAGTCTGCTTCAAATGCCATGTTGGCCCTTTCCAGGCTTATTGCACTGTACACAAGTGTCTATCTGGTGTAGGCAGGCCAGTTAACATCCATGTCCAGGTTTCCACCCATGTTGTTACATCAAATGCTTGCTGTACAAGAAAACTAATGCTTTGATGTCTTGGTCAACCCTCACACTAACATCTCCAGTATAAGCACATCCTCTTGGGCGGAATTGCATTGGGGATGGGATTTGAGTTTTGGAGTTTGGCAGGTGAAAAGCACTGACTGGTTGTGACAAACACACACTGTGTGAGTCGTGTCAGGGTCCAGAACTCCCTGAGCTGCTGAGGCTGGAGCCTGAGCACGGGAGGAAGTGTTTTGTGTGCTCACCCTGGTGAAATACTTTTATCTTGGGCCAAACAGATGATGGTCTGGGGTTGCTGTTTCAAGCTTGGTATTTACTGTAGCAGAGTGGGGTAGAATCAAACTTTGGAATCATAGAATCATACTTACAGACTAATTTAGGTTGGAGAGCAAGTTAGGTCATGGATTGGGGGTGGGTGGGTGGTGAAACTATTTATGTTCCT